AGGGAAATAGCAAGGATGGTGAAAGGTGATGGACATCATTATCCAAAGAACATGTATGAATACACGAATTGGGTGTGAACTTAGTTTATATACAAACAGAAATATGAACAATTGTGATATATTTGTGCAATAAGAATTATAATGCAAAAATAAGTACATGTAAAAGACAGGAATTGGCATGAACATTCTCTATATACAAAGATATGAAAAATTGTGCTGTATATGTGTAATAAGAATTGTAATGCATTTGCTGTCGTGCATTTAAAAAAATCAATTAAAAATTCATTTCGAATCTCATGAGACTCTAAGTAGCCAGAATAATCTTAACAAAGAACAAGTTAGAGGACTCCCACATCTTGGTTTCAAAATTTACTACAATGCTACATTGATTGAGACAGTGTAAAGATGGGGACATATAAACCACTGTAACAGAATAGAGAGCTCAAATCAAACCATTCACATAATTTCAACTGATTTTTAACAAAGAGGCTATGGGTAAAATGTAACCTTTTCAACAAATGGTGCTGCAATAAATTGGATATACATATGCAAATTAGTTATGTTGTACCCTTACCTATATCAGACATACAAATTAACTCAAAATGAATAACATACCTAGAGTTTTAAGGCTCAAGCTTTAAAACTTTTGGCATAAGAACAAAGTTTCATGACATTAGATTTGACATTAACTTCTTGGGTCTGACACCAAAAGAATAGGAAATAAAAGAAAAAATACATTGGACTTCAACAATATTTACAACTCAGTGAATTTCAGTGTTTAAGGTATAATCAAGAGAGTTGAAAAAAACAAAGTATGAGAGAAAATATTTGCAAAAGATATATTTGATAGGGCATTATGTCAAACTCATGTAACTCAAAATAAAAGTAAAGACACTTAATTTAAAACCAGAAAAAAAGATTTCAATAGAAATTTCTCCAAAAGATATATAGAAATGTAAAATAAGAACATATAAGACTGCTCAGTATTTATCAATCATTATGGAAATATAAATAAATATCACAATGGATAACACATCCCATTCATTAGGATAATTTTAAATACAAACAATAACAAAGTGTTTGTAAGGAGATGGAAAAAAATGGAACTGTTGTGCATTACTCATGATAATATAAAAAAGTGCAGCCACTGTGAAGAATTTGGCTTCTCCTAAAACTACCATTGGATCCAGTAACTTCACTTTTAGATATCAAGGCAAAGATGTGTACAAGTAGGTACTGGGACAGAAAACTGTATACCATATTTCATCACAGCATTATTCACAAGAGCCAAAAGATGGATATGACTCAAATATCCATCATCAACAGATGAATGGATAAACAAACTGTGGCATATACATGTTGAATCTTAAAAGGAATTCATTTCAAATGCATTCTACCACATGGATGAATCCTGAAAGTATTTTAACTGAAACAAGCCAGATTCATAGGACTACAAGATTCCATTTATCAGTTACCTAGAGTAAAAAATTGAAAAGGACAGAAAATAGAATAACTATTAGCAGTAGGTGAGAAAACAGTGAATCTAGTTACTACTTAACTCAATCAGAGTTTGTTTCTGGGATGTGAGAACATTCTTAAATTGATGGTGATGATGGGTGCATAATTTTATGAATGTACTTTATACCTCTGAATTTTACACTTGATTAAAATGGTGTATTTCGTTGGTATGACCTCAACCTCTATGTATAACTGCAAAGCTCTAATTTAAAAAACATACTAAAAAATGTATATTAAATGTTTTCCTTCCCAAGAGTAAAAAAGGAGCAGCACTCCTTGAGATACATCTGAGGAAAGGGTTTGGGCAGGATAATTAGAATACAGACCTGGAACATCATACAGTGCCATAAAATAAGAAAGTGATCAAGAAATAAAAGCACACTGAGTAAATATACAATCTCACTTCAGGGAATGTGCAGTGGCAAAACTTGGATAATTTGAATAATATAATAAATAATTATAGCAATGGATTACAACAAAAGAATACATTCATAAGCTTATATTGATAAATAAAAATAAACTAGAGAGAAGATAGCTGTCCCTTAGAGAATTACATTCAATAAACATGTAATGATGAACATAAAAAATGGTTGCTATACTTGGATCAGCAGTACTTCTCAAAGGTTCATGTGCTCAAAGACTGGTCCCCAGTCTGTGGTGCTGCTGGGAGATGGTGGAACTTTTGAGAAGTAGGGCTAGTGGGATATATTTAGGTCATTTGAAGTATGCCCTTTCGGGATACATTGGGATACTGGCCCCTTCCTGTCTCTCAGGCTTTGTAATATCTATGAAGTGAATAGGCCTCTTCTGCCCTGAGCTCTTGACACAATGTACTACACATCACTAAAGCCAACCAACTATGGAGTGACACCTCCAAAACTGTGAGCCAGAATAAACCTTTCCTCTTTATCAGTTGATTATCTCAGGTATTTTGTGACAGTGATGGAAAATGGACGAATAATCACCATTAGGGCAAATAAAACATAAACAATTATCATAAGAAGGAAATGTCACTGGATGCTAAAATTAGTGGACAAAGTGTGATGAATATGCATATGTTTTTATATCTCAAAGACTTTCCCAATGATAAATTAATTTTAAAAAAGGGATAAAAATGAAAAAAAATTGGAAGATATGACCTTAACTCATCAAAGTGAACATCATAAGTAATAAGATGTTTAAATAACACATATCTCTTGAAATGACATTTGGAAAGGGACATATCATCATTTGTGAAGTATTATTGCCCAAAATGCATAAATTTGAACCTAATCATGAGAAAACTAGATTCAAATTGGGATACATCTTACAAAATAAGTCTCCTTGTGTCAAGGTCATGAAAAGCAGAAACTCCAATTGATTATAGAGATGCAAGCAATGTAAATATCATATCTTATATTGAATCTTGGTCCTCAAAGGACATTATTAGGAATACTGGCAAAATATGAATAATTTCTATAGTCTAATCAGTTGTACTATATTAATGTTAATACCCTAATTTAATAATAATAATAATAATAATAATAATAATAATGTTATTAAGGTGTTAAAATCAAGACACGTGTAATGAAGGGTATATAGGAATTCTCTTTACAACTTTTGCAATTTTTCTTAATTTAAAAATGATTTAAAAATAGAAAGTTTGAGAATATCAGGTACCTAAATATAAAGCTAAGTAAAATATCTATAAGACCTCTATAAATATAGTATTTTAATTGAGGTAAGTTTAAATGAAAATGTATAAACACATACACACAGATACACACACACACACAAACACACACCACACGCACATATAGGACACAAAATGGAAATACAGCATAATCTCCTGCTCCTTTAATTTTTGAGAGAAGTCTTTCTTGACAATCTAATTAATGAAGCACTAACCTCAACCTAGTTACTCTCCAGAGTGGTTTTTCCCCATTTGAACTCCTAGCATGATCCATTTTTCACCCTTATTTGCCCTCTTCCATTGTACCTGCTTAAAATAAAGTTAAACATAAATTCTTATTTTCAGATATTCTTTCGTCATTTGGAATTAGTCTTTTGTAAAGTACTTATTCAAATTGTTTGCCCTTTATTTTGGTTTTGTGTTTTTAAAAATATTCTTAATATGTTATGGGTACTAATTTTGGGGGAGTCAAATCCATTATGATTTTTTTTACCATTCTCTGGGATTATCTTTTTTTCCATATGTTTTAATAATTTCTTAATATTGTATAGATTTTTAAATTTTATGATAGTATAATAGAGGAAAGGGGGTAAGGGAGGAGAAGAGGAAGTGAGGAAGTGCTCAGGAGTGATACTGGCCAAACTATATTATTATACTGTGTGTATGTATCAATACATAACAACAAGTCACACCATTATGTAAAGCTGTAATGTACCAACAAAATAATGTAGAAATAAAATAAAATTTAAAAAAATCAAAATTCCTCATGAGATATAAATATTTTAATAATTTTAATTTAGCATTAAAGTCTTTACTGAAAACAAATAGAAATGCATATAAATAGAGAGCTAAACTACTATGTTCCACTTTCATTCCTTGTTATTTCTAGCCTTTTCTTTATCCTTATCTGTGCTACACTGATACACAATACCACTGTTGTCAAAATAGTTACAAAGTTTCCATCTGGAAGTAATTTATTTATTAAATTTGTATTGTATTTTCTAAAACAATTTTAATACATTTTGTCAAATTCCATATAGTTAAACAAAAACAATAGAAGAAAAAAGTAATAAAGCAAAATCTAACCAAACAAAAGTAAAAAGAACACTTGGTGCTCCATTATATGAAAAGATTTTTAATCTAACTTGGATAAACAGGAGAACAAATTTAAAAAGATGAAAAAAAAAGGTACTGACTTAGCAATATTAATAATAGGAAGATTTTAAGACTAGAAATTAACTGACCCATTCAATTCTTGATAACAAAAATGCAAATTCTTTTAATACAAAGGCAACCACTTTTGTAGAATTCCTCTATAATAAAGATGAAGACAGATGAATGTCAGAGAGTGACTAAGAACCTTTAGTGCTAGTATCAAAAGTCAGAAAAAATTATAATAAAATAATTCAAATACTTATTTCTAAAAGGAAAAAAAACCCACAAAATTCCCTACCTACTCTAGACTACACAAAATTAAACTCACTGATAGCAGTTTCTAAGATATATCATTTGGTTATATCTAGGGTAAATAACTCTAAAGTAACTTATAACTATTATCTTTGTTTCTTCCCAGATAACTGCCTAAAGCCATTGAACCTTTGCTGTCATAGTAATACCAAGGTCAAAATGAAGCCGCTTTTTCCCTTTACATCTTAGATTCACACAGCCTCCTCAAACATACTACCTTGAATAATTTAAAAAAATATACAGCTGACAATAAAAAAAAAAAACTGATAGACATTCACTTAGGCATAATGAAATAAGTGAATTTTTATCAATATACAACATGAAATCATAGTTCATTACATACCACAGCATTCAGGACATTTTGGATGCTTCAGGGTATTCATTCCATACCCTGGAAAGCAGCGATTGATCCAAACCATTTGGAGAGTACCTTCAATGTAGTATATTTCAGGCAATGGATCTGAACGTCTGCCTAGAACTTCTACTTGTTGACTGAAAAATCTCTCTATGAGATTTTTAGCCTAAAATAAAAATAAAATATGAAAAAATATTAGTCAAAAATAAATGTAATTTTAGAACAGAGAAGACAGAAGGCAGGATAAAACAGCCTCGGGTGTTTATTTTATCTTGCACTCATAGGATATGAATACAATAATAACACATGTAAAACTAAAAAGATGTCACCTATATGCCTCCAATATTTCCAAAGGTACTTTCTTAAATAACACAAAGAGACCATTTGAATATATAATCAAACATTTTGTTCTCTTTGAATTTTTAGTAGCACATAGAAAACATCAGAGAAAAATCAAGATAGTGGCTTGAAATTGAATGTTTTCTATGAAATTAAACATAAAGGAATATATTTTAAGAATCATTAAGAAGCATATTCTCTGGCACCCCCTTCACTCTTTTCAAAAAGAAAATTAGGTTTAAAAACAAGAGAAAATACAACACTTATTACAATCTTTAGGTCTGCATCTAAAAAATAAGTTTATAAAATACTTAGGAGATCATTCTGTTCTATAATTACCTTTATGTTTGTAATATATTCTAGCTTAACTCATAAATCAAAAACAAGATTATACTTTTCTATGAGTGATAAGATCTGTACAAAAAAACATGAAGCATGGTTATGATTCAAACCCTCTATAGTTAGTTCTCCTCCATTCTGCCACACTAACTTTCACCCACAGTCCAGTCAGAAGCACAGAGAACAGGTTCATCTATAACCACTAGTGGTACACTTCAACTTTTCTGAGTTCTTTAAATATTTTGTAAAGTACATACTTCCATGAAAACTTCTATAATAACAAATAGATTTTCAACATACTAAACTGATTGTAAATATACAAGTCTTTTCTATTACTTCATAGCTTTTCACTGTTTAAATGTTATTTTTGTTATTCTGATAATATGGGGGAAATCCATTGATTTTTACTTGATCAAACACAAATTTTATTTAAATACATACTTAAGAATAGATGTGAATGCTTATTTAACTAATTATATTTAAATGTGAAAATACAATTTGTAAGTTTCATAGAGACACATTCATAAATCATTCAGCTTCCTAAAATCCTACACAAAAAAGAAAAAGAAAAAAATTAAAGAAAAAAGAAACATCAATGAACTGCTAGGTGTGGTAGTGCAAGTCTGAAATTCCAGTATAACAGCAACTCAGGAGGCTGAGGCAGAAAGATCACAAGTTCAAGGCCAGCCTCTGCAACTTAGCAAGACCCTCAGAAACTTAAAAAGGACCTACCAAAAATTTTTAAAATAAGAAGGACTAGGGATGTAGTTCAGTGATAAAGCAATCCTATATTCAAGTCCCAGTACCAAAAGCAAAATAAAGCAATGATCTTAGAATTGAGAAAATCTGGTAGATAAAAATATAAGAGTATTGTTCCTTATTTTCCCTCTAAAAGGAAGAGGAGGATAGATCTCCCAATATAAATGAAAAGAAGGTCATAAATTTTGTAAATAACTAACTTAACATTTTTATATTGAGTAGGGTTAATAATTAGGACCTGAAATTATTAGGACATAGGGTTAGCAAGCAGTACAGCTGAAGAAGTCTATGAGTTGGATAAGGATTCCAAATGTAAAAGTAAACTTACTAAACCAATCTGGATGATTTAAGAACATAATTATAAAAACAATCTCAATAAACTAGTAATCTTGTTTAAGTGATAATGAATATGACTAAATAAACAAGAGATTTACTAGTCCACTCTATTCCTCTTGCTACCCCCAAGAAACTTTATAGAAACATATATAAAAAGAATATGTTCTACAACAACTGGTCAATGATCACAGGACTGAAAAAGCAACTGCTGCTATTTCAAAAGTGAGCAGTAGTTAAAACATGTGCTTTTGTATGGAGAAGTTGAACAACTAATATTAAATACCATAATCTTCCACTGGCCATGCCAAGTATAGACAGTAAATAAAATTAACTAGAAAGGTTTCAGTATTTACTCTAGTTTTGTCAAATCAACTTAGAAGACAACTACCTAGTTCTGGGTAGGGAACAAATTATACATTATACAAGATCAGAGTCTAACTTGAGTTATAATTCCACTGAGTGAGAATTAATATACACAAGATTTACAAATATTAAACCTATATAGGAGTCCTTTAAACACCTTTGCGTAATTCCTGTATTTGGGAATTCCTGGGAAAAAATGATTATATATCTCCAAGTGTGATTAGAATTAATACTAAAAAGTAAAAAGAAGAGGAAGCTTAAAGGTGTCTTGTAAGAATAAAAAAGACATGTAAATTTTCATAAAATAAAATAAATGACCTTGATTCTCAGGAAATGAATGAGAGGTAATATGTCCAGATATAAAATGTCTCAATGGAGAACTGCAGAAAACAATTATAAAAACTCAAAATTGTCTCTTTCATGTTAGAAACATCAGAACAGGGATAATGTGCTCAATTATGAGTGGATCAGGCAGAGATCTATGAGACAGAGGTAAGTTTAAAAGCCGAACCAAAGATTTGATGAAGAAAATAAAGGGTTATAAAACAACTTTAATTTTATGAAAGTTAAAATCTACTCCTATCAAGTATAATAAGTACTACAGGATTTGAGGAAAGAAAACTTCCACATTGTAATGTGGGGACTACAAAATCCTGAAGCGAAAAACAGAATCCAATCTTTACCAATGGATGCCACTGAAGTGGTGGTTGTTGCACATGAACTGAAACTTGCATTTTAAAAAAAGGCACTTAAGAATAAAAATTAAAGAAAATTTATTATTTATATTTTGTAATGATTAGATATCTAAGCTGATGTATTAACATTTTTTAGTAATATATTGCTCATCAAAATAGATAAGGAGTGAACATGGAGAAAAATATTTTAAAATACAGGAAGGTACTTCCATTTCTAACTAGGTGGTATACCATGTATTTTGAGAAATCTTTGTGCTAAAAATGACCTATTTGAACACAACAGAACAATCTTGTGTAGACATATTTCTACAAAGAAATAGAAAGAGGAAAGATAGAAGATAAGAAGGCAGGAAGGGAAAAAGAAAGGGAGGGAGGTAGGGAAAAAGAAGTAGAAAGCAAGATAAAGAGGAAGAAAAAGACTTAAGAGCTATAAATGAGAAGAAAACTACAATCCTAATTAGTAGCTGTGTCCCTAATTCATTTGATGTCAATCTCAGTATTCCAAGGTGTTACAATTTTATCAGCCTAAAGAAAAACGGAGAAAAGCCTTAAGCCTGTAAAAAGAGAGTAAGACTCTAAGTAAAACAGTGGACATGGAAATTTTTTCAGTTACAAAATTGGGCGGGGGGGGAGAGGAAAGCTTCTCGGTGTCAGCTGGGGTGTAGGATGGTGAAGGAGGAGGTGGGGGAAAGGTGAAAAATAGAGGGATAAGGGAACCAAAAACACCTCTGTAAATTCCTACATAATTGTCTGCTTTCAAGTAGATTTGAAGTTTTTCTAACAGAAATTGTAGGCCAAAAAATTTACATAAAAATTGCCTTTGCTTGAGAACAACCCTGGAGCACTAGGGGAAATAGGAACATGGACACTTGATGAAACTGTACAGAAATATACACATGCCTAGACCAAACCAGCTATCTAGCAATAAAAGTCTAATACTCATGACTTCATCCAAATGAATTATGAAGAACATTATAAAATGAAGAAATAATCAGAGACAACAAACAGCCAGATTAAAACAAGATAATGAAATATAAGTTTTATAAAAATGATGTAAAGCATGTTTTAAATATAGACATAAAAATGGAATAAAAACATGAAAAAGTAAAATTATACCATAAAAGAGAAAAAAGTACATATGAACAACAACAACAAAAAAAAAAAACCTGCCTGAACTACAAATAGTGAATGGAATGAAATTAAAAATTCAATGGACTAACTGGGTACAGTGGTACACACTTGTAATTCCAGCTCTAATGATCTCCCTTTTACTTTCATCACAGGGCAAAGTGAAAAGAAAAGGGAAGTACTAGGAAATAAAACTGAACAAATTATGTTATATACATGAATAATGAATATGTAACAACAAATGGCACTATATATACAATTATAATGCATCAAAATGATCTTAATAATGAATAAAAAATAAAAATTCTAAAATAATAAATTTACCTGAAGAAAATTCTTCAAAAAATTCAATGGACAGACTAAACAAAAGTAGGTCCAAATGAGCTAAAATAATAAAATGCAAGAAGTATGTGAAATTTTTTTCAGAATGCAAAACATAACTAGGAAAAAAACCATAGAAAAGTATAAGAGAGATGGAGAAATCAATAGACAATTCAAAATAAAAGATTAGAAATTCCAGAAAGGCAAATGGTGAAAAGGCAATTTAAAAAGGACTCTGGCTGAAATTCTTCTTGAACTGAGGAGAGCAATTTTTTTGCAGAAATAGGAAGCATGATAAATTCTAAAAGATAATGACTAGAAAACAAAGGACCTGAATGCAAGAAGGAAAGAAAAGCAAATAAACACATAAAATTGTGGTTTAATATAAGAAGTCAATGACCTACTGAAATAACTTTGATATTAAATAGAAAAAAATCAATAAAATAAAACTAAAATACTGGAAAACAACAATTAAAGAAGAAATCAGGTCACGAGTTAAAAAAGGCATTTAAATTCCTTGCATTTTTTAGGAGGATAAAATAAACTAACAGTACTACTGTCAAGTATATTTGTTAAAACAAAGCCAAACCATTTAAAGAGTAAAAAAGAAAAAAAAAAACCTGTAAAGCACAGAAAAATAAGGGAAAATTTTATTTTAGAGCCATACAAACAAAAATAGTTAACACAAAGAACAGAAAGCCACAGTAAATGATATGTAATAGAATGGTAAAAATCAGTCCACATGGAGCAATAAGTATGACTTATTGAGACCTTGTCTCTAAATAAAAAATAAAATGAAAGGCTCAGTGGTTAAGCACCCCAGGGTTCAATCCCCAGTACAAAAATAATAATAAAAAAAGAAAGAAAGGAAGCCAGCAAGTGGAGC